TACGTTGTGATGAATCTCGATATGGTTAAACCCTATCTGCCTTATAAGTGAGGCAACGCTGCATTGAAGTGCGTTTTAATGTCACTTTGACATTTGTTTGTGTGGCTGTGATTGTGTACTGTTCCCAAATCTCAGGAAGGTCTCCAATTTGGGCATTGATCCATCATCTCTACAGTCCCCACTTCCCACCTAGATTAGTGGGCATTGCTGTTACAACACATAATAGATTTTCAGGTAATTAATTTTAGCTCCCTCCTCTTTCGCTGCTGCTCAGCGTATATTAAAACCATCCTTTCATGATGTGCGATTTCTGTTACCATTTCTAAATCATTAAATAAATAAATAATTAGGCCACTCAATCCACCACTGTGTGTGTGACACTGCTGTGAGCAATTGGCTTCTGCATTTCGCCCACAAAATACGCAGTCAATTCACTTTACGGTATATTCTGTGAAGCGCTTTGAGACGTCTCGACGATGTGATAAGGCGCTGTATCAAATGCAAAGATTATTATTATGTTATTATATCATAAAAGCACCAGTGCCTACAAAATACAATTTTTATGGTATTTTCCTGGAATTGAATTATGATTCTTGAGTTGCTGGAATTACAAAACTGTCACATTAAGAAAGGCAACTGTTCAGTGTGAGATACTGTACGTTTAGGAGGAGATTCTGTATGTGAGGGAGGGAAATGTTTCCTTGGGCATCAAGTAGATTAGGCGGAGTTCAAAATCGAGTCGTCTCTGGAAGGTGTGTGGAAGGAAAAAGCTTAATAGCCAAATAGCCCTGTCTTGATTCCATGCTTTCTTATGTTCTTCGCAGCTGTCTGCAGCCTCCTGCAAGTTGGTCTTGTTTAAAAGCACACAAAAAAGAAAGCTTTCAACAAAGGCCAGGAGGATTTCAGCCCGCAGTCATGTCGTTGCCGAACACTTAGAAGCTTGTGAGTTTTGTCGTGTTATGACAGGCTTATAGTTATTGGATGACAGTTGCGTGCTAATCTTCCCAAGTCTTTGAAGTTTATTCAGACTATCAAGTGGTTGGGCCTAATGAAGGGTTTGCATTTGCATTTGCCGTCCATGTGCTGACAATTTTCCTATGAAACCAGTGTGTGAAATGAAGCACTATGGACAGTGGGTGCTGTTTGTGTGGCTTCTTGAAGAACAGACATAACAACTGTATTTCTGCAGAGGTGATCTCACTGTTGCACAGCGGTGTCACCCAATGGTTTAGTCTTTTTTCATGGTCTAAACATCTAAACTATGCATCAATAAAATGCTTCCAATAGCATTCAACCAACAGTCTCTACCACCCAGAAATAAAATGGGGTCTTCAACAACAACAACAAATTACATTTACACAGCGCCCTTCACGCAGGGCATTGTCTCGGAGCGCTTAACAATGGAGTCCTGTAGCTCAGTGGTTAGAGCACTCGCTTTGCAAGAGAGAGACCTGAGTTCAATTCCAGGCAGAGGGCGAAACCTCGGGCAAGTTTCCTTACTCCACACAGAGCCTAATAATAATCCCTCCAAAACCAAAAACAATAATAAATTGGTCATTTTCAATCTACGACTGTTTGTGGGACATTGCTGTGCGCAATTGGCTGCCGCGTTCGCCCACAAATATACAGTCAATTCACTTTACGGTATATTCTGTGAAGCGCTTTGAGACGTCTAGAAGACGTGAAAAGCGCTATATCAAATGCAAGGATTATTATTATCAATGGCTGAACTTGACCCCGAGCCGGTGGGGGAGGGAGCAGGTGGCTGTAAGCACGGTCCTCAATTGAAAGGTTTAGGCGGGGGAATCACAGCCAACACCCAGAGTGAAACAGCATGAAATAGGACAAGGTAGATTTAAAAATGTGGTGATGGCAAATTATTAGCTTGAGGGTATTGGGTGGCAGAGAATACCGAGGAAGGTAAGATGCTCCACAGAGCTGAGAAACAATGAGACATAGCTTACAGTGTGGGTGTGTTATGGACGGGTGCTATTTCAGTACAACTGGTACCACTGAACACCTGTCTCCCTGTGCTGACAAGTTAGCTTCCCACGCTAGAAAATGATCATCTTATAGGTTGTCAGGTTATCGCTGATGTCACTTCCTGCATGCTAGGCGTGCCCGCTATACGCAGGAAGTGCTGCTAACATCTGAGTATACAGACCTGGGTTACGTAGAGATTGCACTGTGTATTCAGACGAATACATACAGAAGTATACATTCAACCACAAATACACACAGACAGACAGTGAGATATATGCACACCCAGAGCGTATGAATGCAAGTACTCAGAACACAAGCAGATACTCACACACACACACACAATCATTTTTACTCAAAAGCACTGAGTTACAAACATAAGAAGGGGAGGGGGGGGGGGGGGGGAAGATGCACCCAACAGCAGTTTGTGATAACATTTTAAATTAAATTAAATTGGCTCACTTTATGAGGAGGGGGGGGATTGACTGCCCAATACTTTAAGCAGCCAGGTGTAATCTGAATCGCTCGCAGTTTAAATAAAATTCCACTGCAAGGCAGTGACACGTTCCGAATAAAAAAGGAAAAGAAGTTGCAGTCGGAATTGCTGCTCTTGATTTGTGCATTCCTTTCCCAGGAGTCGATTTGCAACATGCATCACTCAACTGGCCTTTGACTGGAATGGAGTATGGCATCCACACACTCTGGGTGCATCCCCTTCTGGTAACTGATAACACATCAGCTGCAGAAGGCTTGTGTGAGAAACAATGGGCGAGGAGTAAGCCTGAAATCTTAGTTGTTTGGGGGAAAGGTTGCAAAGTCATGGGAACCGCTCGGATTCTTTTTTGAGCTGTCCAGCCTGCCTCAGTGAATAATGTAAGTCAACATCTAAATTTTTATGAAACAGCTGTTGTTGACACAAGATGATTTACCGCAAAAAAAAAATCTCCGAGGCAAGAGGGTATGGGTCTGCTGCTCGCGTCTCCTCAGTACCCTTTATGGTAGCGAGGCCACAAGCAAGCCATGACGGACACCAAGAACAGCGAGTTAAAACATAAACTGCTTATCTACAACAGTATAAATAAAGCAACGAGTAAACACAGGGCAGCAAACCAGACTGTCTGGGTAACTCTAGGGATGGGAGCTTGAAAAACTCCTTACCAGAGGGTCACAGGTTTAAACCCCTGTCTGAACACGTTTCACCTTTGAATCCAGTTCTCTTTCACTGCCCGCCCACCCCCATTTACCTGACATCAATAAGGTCAATTGCCTTACAGACAAGTTTGAGTTCAATTATCAGAATAAATCTGAATTGTTGTCCTGTCTCGTTCACAGATTAGTTTTGTGACATTGGGCACAGTTAGAGCACCTCCTGACAACTAGTAAAACCACAAGGTTAGAAGACGCGGTGACTGAATCTCGAACAAAACAAAAATAAACCCTGCCAAATTAGCTTTTCATGGAATCGGACAGATTCCTTCCCACAGGAGAACAATCAGCCCACCAGTCTGCAGTTGTCTCCATAATGTACACACAGCCAAGTATTCCCTGTCTATGAACCAGAAGAGTTAGTATATTAACCAGAATTCAGAGTTTATATTAATAATAATAATAACAACCCTGGCATTTGATACAGCGCCTTATCACATCTTCGAGACGTCTCAAAGCGCTTCAAGGATACATTGTACAGTGAAAAATCTGTTTTTTGGGGTGAAAAGCGGCAGCCAATTGCGCACAGCAGCCGGGAATCAAACCCAGGTCCTCTCGCTTGTGAAGCAAGTGCTCTAACCAGTAAGCCACAGGGCTCCAAAACCTTACATGGATAAGGCTACCAACACCTGGGCTTATTTTAATACGTAATCGGGATATGGACATCAAGTTTTGGTTCCAAGATAAGATGGAGTCCTGTAGCTCAGTGGTTGGGGTCCTGTAGCTCAGTGGTTGAAGTCCTGTAGCTCAGTGGTTAGAGCACTCACTTTGCAAGCGAGAGACCTGAGTTCAATTCCAGGCAGAGGGCGAAACCTCGGGCAAGTTTCCTTACTCCACACAGAGCCTAATAATAATCCCTCCAAAAAAACAAAACAATGATAAATTGGTCACTTTCAATCCACGACTGTTTGTGGGACATTGCTGTGCGCAATTGGCTGCCACGTTCGCCCACAGATATACAGTCAATTCACTTTACAGTATATTCTGTGAAGCGCTTTGGGACGTCTAGAAGATGTGGAAAGCTCTATATCAAATGCAAGGATTATTATTATTATAAAATGCGGCTGAAAAACTTGTATGTACAGTATTTGCAAGTCCATTTCTGTCCAAGTCAGCCACGTTGAACCCAGGCTGTGTGATAAAGCACAGCTTCCCCGAACCAAACTAAAGCTGCTCACTAAATCCCATCAGATTCCCATCACATCAATGCGAACCAGAGAAATCTGATCTTCTCAAAGCTTATAAAGAGAGAAAAGATAAATACACTTAATTCCTTTCCCCTCTTTCCCCACATCCCTCCACCCACCACCCCACCCCACCAACCCTCGACCCCAAATAAGAACATGTACAATCTGAATGCAATGAAAACAGGCGGGAAAGCAAAGAATTGCAGCAATGTAGAGAGTGAGTGGGGCCGACCAGGCAACAGCCCCACACACACACACACACACACACACACAGAGAGCAGACGGTGGGAATCATCGCAGTGATGGTCAGGACAACCTTACTGAAACAAGCACAGAGACAAGCTGCCTGCCAAAGGCTGAATCCCTGTTGGGTTGACCGGCTCAGTTATGTTCTGTGCTGCTACAGAGAAATGCAAACAACAGGTTTTTGTGGTTCAAAGAAAAAAATTCTATGTTCTTGTTTCCTGTAGTTTGTTTAGAGAATTCACAGTAGCCTCCCCCACACCCCCCCCAACCCCCACCACCCCACTCCCACTCCCCACAAGGGTCCTTTAGGAATGTTCCTCTGACCCCGCGATAAACAGTGTTTCACTGACACGACACAAATCAAAGGGTTTGGACTCTGACCTGGATCTGCTGCTGGAGAAGGTTGATTTTGTGTTGTTGTTGTAACAGTTGCTGCTGTTGCCTTGCAATCTGTAGAGCGAGCGAGAGAGAGAAAACAGAAACAAAATCACTTTACTTTCTATTTAAATTTACCGTGTTGTTACGACTGTTTGTGGGGACGCTGCTGTGCGCAAATGGCTGTCGCATTTCGCCCACAAAATACGCAGTCAATTCACTTTGCAGTATATTCTGTGACGCGCTTGGAGACGTCTCAAACTCATGATAAGGCGCTGTATCAAATGCAAGGATTATTATATTATATTACAATTATTCTAATTTGGAAGCTGGTTCTTTAAAGAACTGCAGAAAACAGACTTTGAAATTAAGACTGAATTGAAGAATGCTGCACAGATTTGTGGGAATGGTTGTACGGGCTGAAATTTTGGGTACCATAAAGTACTTTTAAATGCCCACCTCTCCCCTCGGTCTATAGATATTCCGCATTGGTATATTTTAAAATACAGACTTAGGATGAGGTGGAATTTCAGGCCTCGAGAACTCAAGTGCCTTCTGTGCAACAATAATAATAATGTACAGTTCTGACCAGAATTTGAATGGAATTGAGAAGTTGATAGTTGATCCAAAGCAAAGCTGAAGACATACAGTGAAACGACATAATGCTAATTATTTGGACGTGATTTGTTGGTTTATGAGAACAGTTGCTTCGTTCATGGCAAGTTTGGTTTGATTTTGTTGACTGGCAACAGATTGTTTCAAGGTAACAATGGCTTCTAATCACAGCACAATTAACACCAGCCAAACAAACTAAGCAAATGCGTTCTCATAGATTGCGGAGATCCCCCAGCTCTCTTTATTAATGAAGCCCATGACACTTTGAAAGGTGTAATATTAATAATAATGATAATCCTTGCACTTGATATAGCGCCTTATCACATCTTCGAGACATCTCAGAAGCGCTTTGCAGGATTCACTGCAAAGTGAATTGACTGTACATTTTGTGGGCGAAAAGCAAAATGGGTAAACAGTATCTGCAATATCAAATTTAATATTGTTATGGCAAAGATATTATTGTATAAATGAAGAGAGTTTTAAAATGCAGGAAACCTGGACTTTCATCACATTTCAACAAAGGACCTAAAGTACATTGTATTGTTTTGAAGGGGAATACAGTAATTGATTTGTTCGCATAAGTAGAGTGAGCATTACAGTAATAATGCATTGATATATCATGGAATCAAACTCTAATGGTACTTTTCTGACTCAATGCCTTCTCGATGTGAATAAATCATCATATTGCATATTAACCCCCCACAAAAAATTCTAACTGAATTATATGGACTAAAATATCCATTTAAAGTTCAATATATGCACAATTGGCTGCCGCATTTCGCCCACAAAATGCACAGTCACTACACTTTGCAGTATATTCTGTGAAGCGCTTTGAGACGTCTCAAAGACGTGATAAGGCGCTGTATCAAAAGCAAGGATTATTATTATTATTACATATTTTTCACGTTATCTGAAGTGTATAAATAGGTCTAATTCTACCACAAGCTCCTCCGGGCATTTCAAAGGTCCATATAATAATGGCATTTTACGTTGTGCCAATTCTAGAAATATATTTTTTATATTTTATTGCTTCATACAGAAATAGGACTGATAGGGCTCAAATCCTTCCTACCTGTAAATTCTGTACATTTCTCCATGTAACCATCATGCTTCTCGAATTATGAATGGCTATCAATGAGTTACAAGGCACAACAAGATTGGATGACAGACTGTGATAAGGATCAAACAGGCAGTATGTTACCTAAACAGTGAAATCTGTCTAACCCTTATAACTTGCCCATTGTCATCTGTTAGAGTCCAGTATCAATATACAGTAGTGCAGCTGTCCATTGAGGTGAATAAAAGGGATGTCTTTACACCACACACATTAGGACTCACAAAGATGAAGCTAAATGGTGGATATCAATCATATTAAGAAGCAATATTGTTTCCACATCTGGTTCATTGGGTGAGATAATAATATTAATAATAATCCTTGCATTTGATATAGCGCTTTTCACGTCGGGAGGACGTCCCAAAGCGCTTCACAGAACACACTGTAAAGTGAATTGACTGTATATTTGTGGGCGAACGCGGCAGCCAATTGCACACAGCAATGTCCCACAAACAGTCGTAGATTGAAAATGACCAATTTATTATTGTTTTTGGTTTTGGAGGGATTATTATTAGGCTCTGTGTGGAGTAAGGAAACTTGCCCAAGGTTTCGCCCTGCCTGGAGATACAAGACAATCCATGGAATTGTGCCCTCGCGGGCGGGAGGCGGACAGAAACAAACACCTTTGGAAATGTTATGAGCACAAACATCCCCCGTGGCTCAGAGAACGTCCAGTCTTGACAATTTCAAGGGGTGCTAGTTGGGGTGCTACGGTTACATCAATGGCAAGCTGTGTGGGTTTAGCTGGTTAGTCTCCAGCAGTTACCCCAACACACACTCTGGGCTCCCCCCAAGCCTTGGCTCTTTCCAACAATCTACCTCTAGGATTTCCACGTGTAAGTGGGATGCGTGGAATTCTCAGCTTGGTTCGGATACTCTTAAGTGATGGGTTTCCACGATTGGTAGACACCCAACTGACACCCCCCAAAAAAACACTCCAGGCAATGGAAAGGGATAAGTCGCCAAGACTCCCATTCCTGATCATGACACCGCTAGATATATGCATGTGTGGACATTCAGTATCAAGGCTCAAGAATGGCCATTGAGCTTGAAACCAAAGGATAATAATAATCATAACAGTAATAATTCTTGCATTTGATGTTGCGCCTTATCACATCTTCGAGACGTCTCAAAGCGCATCACAGAGCACTTCCAGGATGGCTGGAACTCATGCAAAGGTTATCCCAGGCTGTTCAGAAACGTGGGGCTAAGGGGAGTGAGTGCAGAGGAAGCACAAGGGTGAAAATCAGATTGTATTTTTGGTTCGAGAATTTCTCATGCCTGTGCCCACAACCCTTGTGTGTTCTTACAATAAATGTCTCACATGACAATGTTTTATTGCTTTTATTGTATTAGCTCAGTCATAAAGCTTTAAACCTTTGAAAATATGTAGTCAAGGCATGGGTCATAGTGCAGAAGTCATTTGACACCCACATCCAAAGGCCTTCTTTTTATATATAAAAAAAAGAGACATTTACAAATTGTTCCAAGTGGGTTTCCAAAACGCTGCGGATTTGGGTTTCCTTGAGTTGGAGCTGTTGTTTGAACCAATTAATTCAGTGGCTGTAGCTTTGCATCAATTAATTTTCTGTAAATGTGATTAACCGATTGATCTGTACTCACTTGTTCCTGTTGCTGCTTGGCGAGCTCCATTTGCTGTCGTTGTTTCTCGATTTGCGTGGCCGCTAATTTCTTCTGTTCATCGTGGGCTGCCAGCAACTGTTCACGCAGGCTCGTCAGCTGATTAATCATGGCCATAAGCTGCCTTTCCTTCTCCGCTAGGCTTTCTGGCGTCCCTAGAACAAGCGACACAGAGGAGAAGGGTTAGATAGAAATCTTTGAACTTGCTGTGAAATCGAGAGTCCCTGAAATAACGAAGAGCAAAGTGACTGAGGTCCTGTAGTTCAGTGGTTAGAGCACTCGCCTCGCAAGCGAGAGGACCTGGGTTCGATTCCCGAGCAGGGCAAAACCTTAGGCAAGTTTCCTTACTCCACAGGCCTCTGTTTACCAGCAGTAAGTAGGAACCCGGTTGTGAGTCAATTGGTGGATGGCTTTCTGGGAGTAATAGTTCCTCTACAAAAAAATGAATCATGATAATTTGGTCATTCGTTCCATGACTGTTTGTGGGACGCTGCTGTACACAGTTGGCTGCCACATTTCACCCACAAAATATACAGTCAATTCACTTGACAGTATATCCTGTGAAGCGCTTTGAGGCGTCTGAATGAGGTGATAAGGCTCTAAATCAAACGCAAAGAATTATTATTATAACCGTCTTGTCCACGTTGAGCACATTTCAGTTTGCAGTGAATCAACCTGAAACCAGGAAACAAATTAAAGAGTAGAGTGTGAAAAATATAGAGTGTGTGTATATCCTTACTGCTCGGGTCAGTGCATTAGTGAAACCCAACTGCTGTCACAAATGAGAGCGCAGATCCATGATCAACTGGAGTAGGATAATTAGTAACAAAACCCACCTTAAGATCTATCTCTTTTTACTGCATTTTTAGTCACTTGCTTCCCCCAGCTCATTTTCCCCATATGAAGTGTTACGAGACATCTTTCCTAATGTGAAAGCCGATATATAAAGGTACGTTATTGTTGTACCTCTACCCGTGTGTGAATAAATATTTGAACAGTATCTTGTTTTATCTTTGAACATATTTGAATTACATTTTTTGAATTTAGTTCAATGATAAGGCATTAAGGTGTCCCATTCCATTGGGCATATTTAGGTTAATGGCCGACTAGTGGTAACATCTTGCTTTTATAAGCTGTTACCCATATGGCTTACCTCTTATTTCTCCAAAGCACTACGACTTGCTTAGAGATCTCAGATAAAATCAGTTCCCCATTTCGCCCACAAATTATGCAGTCAATTCACTTTACAGTATATCCTGTGAAGCGCTTTGAGACGTCTCAACGACACGATAAGCCACTATATCAAATGCAAGGATTATTATATTTATCTACCTTTCCTCCTCCATAATGGGCTTTGGGAAAAGCAAATAAACTTTCTAAGATGCCTAAGAGTTTATGAACTATTTAGCGTATTTTTTCTAATAAGAGTTAATGTGCAAAAACTATAAAAGGGTGCCCTACAATCAAAACTGTTACATCAGGTGTTAGATTTTTCAGAAGCAAATATTTGTTTTAATCTTTTGTTGCCTGCGATATCATTTCCGCATCAAAGTGAATGCCTCAACAAGGCTATTCCTCAGCCTTCCCCAGGGAATATGAGGAATTAAGGATTGTTCGAAGCCTCTGTGTTTGGAGAAATGTTACTCGGGTAATAATATTCATCATTAGAAACTCACAGCAAATAATTTTCTGAAGACGTTTGAAATGAAACGTGTGTTTTAAATCAAGACGGTCTTTCAGCGCCCAGAGTGAATATTAATTAAATACTGGAGCACATTTCTACACCCAGTCTATTCCTTTATGTTAGCCAAATGGTTTTAATTGCAATTTCTGTGTTATGAATACTCCGCATTATATTCTTTAACCCAGAACATATAGCCCAAAGGACTCTAGTTACCTCAAGGGTATTATCCCTTGCTGCCACTGCGTTAAAAGTTTTTTATTTACTTTTCAATAACTTGCAACTTAGCCTTAGAGGGGCACTTTTAATAGGAATATTTAACGTGCAAGCCAGTGACTCTATTATAACAAGGTCAAGCTTTAGGGGAGTTTGGGAATACTGGCTTGAAATGCATTTATATAACGTACATGACCCTAACAAGTGAACTGTTATTGAACATTAGTTTCCGAACTATAATCTCCATCTAGAAGTTTCTCATATGAAAATATTATTGTCTGAACTATTCAAGTCATGTTCTTTAAAGTGCCACAACAGATATATAGTCCATAGTCACTAAAGTTAATGCCACCACGATTGGTAACATCTAGCTTTTATAATAATAATCCTTGCATCTGATACAGCGCCTTATCATGTCTTCGAGACGTCTCAAAGCGCTTCTCAGGATACAATGTGAAGTGTAGTGACTGTATTTTTTGTGGGCAAAATGCGGCAGCCAATTGCACACAGCAGCGTCCCACAAACAGCCGTGGATTGAGTGACCAAATTATTATTATTTAATTTTTTTTGAAGGGATTCTTACCCCCGCCCATCGACTAACCATAAGGTTCCTACTTACTGCTAGATAAACAGAGGCGTGTGGAGTAAGAAAACTTGGCCAACGTTTCGCCCTGCCCGGGAATCGAACCCGGGTCCTCTCACTTGCGAGGTGAGTGCTGTAACCACTACGATGTTACCCACGTGGTTTGCCTCCTTGGCTTTCCGAAGCATTCTGACAGTACTCGCTTACAGATCTCAGATAAAAATCAGTTCCCCTGTTGCGATGAGGCTTGGCAGTTTTCTCAGTCTAACTGCCTTTTTATATACAGTTTGATCTCCTTACACAATGGGCAGCCTCTTAAAGTGGTATTGCCCTGAAGAATTTTAGCACGCAGCGTGTAATTCTTCAAAAAGCCAAAATTGCAATTGATTCACGTGGCTGCTGAGACCCCCTGACCCGGCCCCTGTTTATGCGTATAAAAATGTCTGGCCTGCGAGCCAGACTCTCCTAGTGACAATGGCCTTCTGTAATCAGAACAGATACGATTTATTTAATTTACATTCTTACACTTTTTTTGTGGGGAGAGGGCGGTGGTGGGGGGGGTTATCTATCGCGCAACTGTATATCAAACAATCTGTACCCCCTCTATGTGGAAGCGCAGTTCATTGGTGGCATGAGACTGAATTCTTCAGTATGAAGCAATCAATATAGAGCCTGACCCCACAAGAAGGTGCTAGTCAAATTCACTTGGCCCTTGAGGGCAAGTTTCTCAACAATAGACAATAATTGCAACTGTCACGGCAGTCTGCAGTAAAAATAAACCGGTGGCTGTTTTAACAGCTCGCTGCCTAGAATGAGCCTTAGATGTAGGTTTGAAGGGAACTCCAAAACAGAAAGGACCTTCTGTTGAAATGTCAGCCTAGAAAAGAAATGCTTCTTTCATGGTAGCAAGAAGCAGGCTGCAAGGAATGTTGATTGTCTTCCTCTCCTGACACATGTGAAGCCAGTTTCTAATGCTTACCCTCACCCAACATAAGGACAGCACACACACACACACACTGATATCCAGCAGAACATCGTAAAGATGTGGGATTTATTACTTTTCTACCCCACTGTCTTTTCAGGGTTTTTTTTCCAACCCTCATACAGAGTTTCAGCCCCAAACAAAACAGCTTTCCCAACTAAATCTTTCAAAAGACACAACGAGAGGGAAAAAAAAAGGCCCCGATTAAAAATATAAAAGTTCTCTTAGAACGTAAATTTTTCATACAGATCAACCCACCACAAAAAAATTAAGATGTAACAGCATAAAATCTATTTTTAATCATAGTTGCAACCGCTCAAAACCTTAACAAACAATTACAAGAAGTTTTGCTATTTTGTATGATTGCAAAAAACCCTTTTTTTTCTATAAATGCAGAAAAGAGTAAGAAAACACTTTGGAAAGATCAATTGGCTTTGATTAAAAGTGTTATTAAAATATTTAAGGGGACATCTCCTAAATTGAGATTTTTGATTATTATCCTGTTTGACATTAGTTTTAGGTTAATTATTCAAAGAGAATGCAATATAAACAGAGTGTGCAACTTAAACACAACATTATTAAACCTGCTTAAAAACAGTAATTGAGGCTTCTTTTGGTGACCATTAATAGAATGGTCATTTACTGTAGTAGTAATAATAATAATCCTTTCATTTGATCTAGCGCCTTATCACTGTCATTGCGACGTCTCAAAGCGCTTCACAGAATATACTGTAAAGTGTAGTGACTGTGTGTTTTGTGGGTGAAACGGGGCAGCCAATTGCCCACACCAGCGTCCCACAAACAGTGGTGGATTGAGTGACCACATTTTGGGGGGGGAGGGATTATAACAAAAACGATCCGCCAATCGAATAACAACCGAGTATTTCTCATAGTTTGTCAAATTTGCTTTGAACATACAGATACATCAGCTTCCACTTGTTGTATTTCTAATGTAATATATTAATGAATGGCGACAGTGCCATCCATATCCCTCATTAAAAACTCCCGAACGCAGCTTAGAAACGCACCCACACGCACAACTTCACGCAAAACTACAGAAGATTCAAATTAGAAGGAATCGTCGCGAACACGTCTGGCCATTAAAGGCTATTTTCAGCAGATTGCAGTCTCCTCGTCTCGCTCTCTTTAAACGCTTACAGAAACAAATAGCGACAGGATTCATTTTAAACCCAACCGCAACCACAGTCTTAGCAGCTGGAGAGGGAGTATGCGCAGGAGGTTAAGCTGCACTGATAATTTAACAAACCTTTAATTTCTCCGATGTTCCCTGAGCCCATGGCAAGGAGTTTGTCCTTCCAGTCTTTCGATAAAAGCTTCTCAATACTCGGAGTTTCTGAGGAACGAAGAAGGGGAGGGGGGGGGGAGAAAATCAGAAAGGATTAATCTACCACCAAACACATGCAAAGTCCATTTGCAGACGAAAGCAATTCTTCCCGTCTTGCTACTTTGGTAATACATTTAATCAGCAGGCAGATAAGAATAAGAATGTGTTTAATCACCTGCTCTTTGAAAATCATTACCCTATACCCACAAACAAAGCAATAGCATTTTATAGGACAAAGCAAGATGAGATTATAGGTCTGTAGTGCAGGGTGCACTTTTGCTTCTCAGCATCAGACAGGAGAGAGAGAGAGAGAGAAAGACGGGGAGAGATGGGGGGGAAAAAAATAGCACAATCTCCATAAAGTGCTGCCTACATACATACATCCAGAACCGAAAATAAGAAGAAGAATTTTAAAAAAAGCACAGTGCCTCAAGGCAGAAAATACCAGACCGCTTCCCCATTTAGTTTATTGTCAATAGACAAAGCGGTTCACCAAAGCTGCCAGGAAAAGAGAGGGCTGGTTATATTGTATTCGGGGACTAGTCCATTAAAAATACAGCACTTTATTTTATTTTAAAAAAAACTTCTGAGCTGAATAAGTGAGCAAGGCACCCCAGGCAACACACAGCACCTCTCCTCGCTTGTCATTGTATCATTACTTGTCAGCAAAAAAATTTTTTTTTTTTTTTAACACTTGCCAAATACCAGGGCCTTTGCTGACGAGGTTAATGACTTGATTCTCCAGCCAATTTTCTCACTCATTCACTCACTCACTCACTCAACCTCCAGTCTTTGAGCGAAGCTAAATGGCTGAGAGTTCCTGTCTTTCCAGCTTTACAATGTACTTATTAAACGAGGCAATCCTACAGAAGATTCTATTACTGTGTAAGTGAAGCCTCACCCAATTTACTGGAGTCTGCTGGTTCGATTTCCTAGTGCAGCTGTACTCAACCAGATATTATTTGACCAGTCACTAGTGCTTTTTAACAGCTGTCCTGTGTCCACCCTGCCATCAACTCAACAGGTGCTATTAGACATCGAACAATAGCCAAAGCTTTTAAGCCACTGCATTGACATTGAAAAGAAATAACAAATGGCCCTGCAATGCATTTCTCCTCAGGTCGCTCAGTGTGCATAGTAATGGGAATTACTTTTATTTATTAACATGTTGTATTGTCCCCCTGTGACAGCTAGGGCATTTTAACTTTTAATAAAAAATGGGGAGTGTAGTTCCAGTCGGATAGCAGCTCCACAAAGTTCAACATTAATGAATGTCTTCCATCTCGAACTGGATAATTTATAATGTCAACTGGCCAAATCAAAAGCATACTATCAGCCTAGCGGTTAGACAGAGAAAGGTGGCTCTGAAAGGCTTTTGTGACATGAGCTTTTCATTTTGTGCAGGACCGAGATGTGCGATGAAAGAGGTAGAAAGAGGAAATTCCGCTGATCACCTAAGAAATAGTGAATTGCGGAAAGTATTACAAAGGAATTTAACAGATCAGAAAATTAAATTAAATACAATGCCATTATTCAGTGGCACTCTGATATAAAAGTTGCCAAAGCTAGACACAGCTTGCTTAAGCCACAGAAACATCAAGGTAAAAATAAAAAATCTGCTTTATACAGAATCCGCTCCATAATGCTTTCCATTAAGGTCGTTAAATACTACATCAAAACACTTCATGGAATGATTAAAGCACACAACTTCAGAAATGTAACTCTAATTAGTTTGAAGGCCAATGAATAGTCAATGTCGGATTCATAAAAGGAGCGCTTTATGTCATTTAAGAGATAGAATGGGTCATTCTTTGACCGTATGACCTTAATTTACATCTGAGAGGTAAAAATTCCACATAGAGGTGTGCTTTGTATTCAACCAGAAATTCAAGAGCTTTGCTGAATTGCAAGGGAAACGAAAAGCAATATAGAACGATGAAGAAATGTATCTTGCTAAAGTATATGCATTTTGATTCAGTCAAAGTACGAACAGCAGCACCCGGGAGATTAACAAAAAGAGCTTTAAGATTTCTTTTCTTTTTCTTATATATCACATAAAAAGAAATCATTTAAGCATTTTCCATTATGCGGACTTGGGGAGTAGCTTTGACAATGTAATCTCTCTTCTCTTTCCACCTCGGAAACATTCCTGACTTCACAAGAGACATGGACAGCTAACCTCCTTAGTCTTTTTTCCTATTATCTCATATTTGTGAAGCTGTGGTGGTGGGCATTTCACAGATCGGAACAAGCGAAGCCCCTTGCAACAAAAGCACTACTGTCACTGAGCCAGTCTCAGACAGGGGTGAAAAGGAACTCACAGGAAAAAGCAGGCTCCGGTTTTAGTCTTTGCCGAATACAGTTACTACATTCAATCATCTTGGCAACTCAACAGCGTGTTCCTGGCTTTAACTAACAAACAGGGGTCGAGATTGAATAACCAATTATACAACCGCTGGCTGAATTTATTCAAGGTTTTGCAAATTGTAATAATAGTTACAGTATTCCCAGAGTGTTTCATCCTCTTCCAGACATAGTGTCATATCCCCGTCGTGCTGAATTTACATTTTACAACCTACTATGTGTTGAACATCCCACAGCAACAAAGCACAATGGCTCTTATTTCTCTTCACTGCTTACGTAAAACTGAGGTTTTAGACTTAGATCCATTTAAAACCACATTAATTCAATACTATATTTCCTGTCAAGTTTCCTTGTTGCTTTAAGTTGCAGCCTCTCCTAGCTCAAGAAAGTCACTGCATCCTTGACCCTCATCCTTGTACTTTTATAATGGTCAATAATTGTGAAATAATATGGCTCCACAAAAGTTAGGCGCTAAATTGCTCCTGTTGCTTATCAGTAATTATTAACTTTTCAAACGTTAATTTATTAAATGCCAAGCAAGAAAAAGTTTCCCAAAAATAAATGCAACAATTTCTTACGTAGCCACGTATAGGAAGAATAAAAAACAAACTCGTTGGAGATTCAAATCTTCCAGATTCAAAAAAAAGTTCCTTATTATATAAAAAAAGTTTATATCACTGAACCCGTGACTATTTGTGGGACACGGCTGTGCACAATTGGCGCTTCACCCACAAAATACATCAGTCACTACACTTCACAGTATATTCTGTGAATCGCCTTTGAGACACCTCAACAACGTGATCGGGCGCTATATCAAATGCAAGGATTATTTATTATTAAGATATTATCAGTTTTACTGCCTTCCGCAGATGAGAAATTTCAAAGATCATCGCTTCACAAGAATGATTCCTAGGACTCTCCCGGAATAGGAGGCCAGGTTGCCTGATACGTGTGCTGTGTAGTAATCCGAAAAATATTCCTGGTAGAAATATTAAGGTGGTACTTTGAGGTGAACGAAGAGAAGAAGTACTGATTTGTGAGATGGTAAAATATTTACAGGATCTGTGTTTTCATTTTGTTAATCATTCTCATTGCTCAACGAATTGTCAAGTGGAAAATGAAAATTCCAACTGGACAGCGAGAAATGTCTTATATCCCCAGGGATAGGCTCATCCCAGGATCTGCCAGGACCAAGGAACTGGGAATAAATGTCATAGAAGAAACATAGAAACAGGAGGAGGCCATTCAGCCCCTCGAGCCTGTTCCACCATTCTTTAAGATCATGGCTGATCTGTACCTCAAGTGCAATTATCCGCCTTTGCGCTTAATACCCTGACCTAACAAAGAGAGCTCAACTTCCGATTAGGAAGAATATTAAGGGTGAGAAGGTAGAAAGACCTTTTCTTTTCTGATTATTCAATATTGATCCCTCCGCCTCGCCCCCTCCTTCCCTTCTTTAAGATCACGACTGAAGACCTTCCTCCTCGACCGCTCACGGTCACCTCCTCCCTCCCCCCCGGCTCGGAGTCAGGCTCCGTTACTGTCAAGCACTCCGAGACACTGCCCCATGTGAAGGGCGCTGTGTAATGCACGTTGTTGTTGTCGATATTCTATCTGGTTTGGACAGAATTAAGCGTGCGTTCATCTATAACCATGTTGCATTGTATTCCCCCCAAATACTTTTACTTTTGTGATTCATTTTAAAAATGAATAAAAGCAACAACAAAGAGATGAACAAGAATGATCAATCTGTGAATTATCTCTGAAGCCTATCTCTACACGATGGCTGTCTTGCCCCCATGACTCTGCTTCCCTTAAGCACACCAGGTCAGTGTCAAACTCGACGGGATCATTGCTCAGTCTGACATTGTAACTGACCCTGTACGACACTGTATTACCATGGAGCTCACTAGCTTTGAGGGCTTGCTATTCTGTACACATTTTCATGTAACTGATAACAAATATTTTAAAGATATGCTTTAGCCTTGGGGAGGAGGAAGTCTAATTCATCTACAGCAAGGTTCTGTATAGATATTCACCAATCTGTCAAGCAACTTGTGTGTTTCCTTCCCTTCCCTCTTCAATATTGGGCTTCAAATGACCTTCAGATGGTAATGATCTTCAAGTGGAGTCCCGTACCATAATGGTTAGAGCACTCGCTTCACAAACGAAAGAACCTGTGTTCGATTAACGGGCAACAACAACAAAATGACATTTATAGAGCGCCTTTCACGTCGGGAGGATGTCCCGAGGTGCTGGACAGTCAGGGGTCAGGACCCGAGCGTGGGGGAGGGGTGGGGTAGGGGTGAGAGAAGGCAGAGAGGTGGGAGGGCAACCGAAGGCACGATCAAAGAGGAGGGTCTGAGACAGACCGGCCTTGAAGGAGGCGAGGGAGGAAGCGAGGTGAAGGGACCGTGGGATGGAGTTCCAGAGTGTGGGGGCAGAGAGGCTGAAAGTCCGGTCACCAATGGTAGGGGGTGTGACATGGAGCAGCCGGAGCCCACTGAACGGAGGGAGGGGGCAGGTTGGTAGGGAGTCAGTAGGTCAGAGAGGAAGGAGGGGACAACGCCATGGATGGCCTTGAAAGTGAGGATGAGGATCTTGAGCTCGATCCTCTGGGGGATGGGGAGCCAGTGGAGTCGGGC